TGGGATTACACTGGGTAGTTGTTGTTGTTGTACTCCTAAGTTTTTTACTTCAAGGGCAACTTAGGAAAAAAGATGTTAATTTCTTCTTGATATCTGAAAAAATAAATATTATGGACCACAAAAAAAAAAACTAAAAAATCGCTTAAAGTGGATCGGATGGAGTAATAGAAGAAAAAGGTAGCTCAGTACACAAGGCATTGCGCATTCACCCAGGGTCCGGGGAAGGCCGCATTCCAAGAAAGATGATGTGGATAGTCTATCCTAATATAAATACTATTGGTTGCTTCCACGACTCTAATCAGTAACCTATAAATTACACCAATGCAATTTTATTATTACTCCAAGGCATCCCTTTAGCCTTTAACAGACAACAACAATAACAACAACGACCTAGTAGAATTCCACTAGTGGGGTCTGGGGAGGATAGTGTGTACGCAGACCTTACCCCTATCCCGAAGAAGTAGAGAGGTTATTTCCAAAAGACCCTCGGCTTCAAGAAGACGAAAAGAGACAATATCAATACCACCAATAGAAAACATAGGGAAAATAACATCATGAAAATGAGAAAGTAGATGCAAAGGAAAAACGATAGACAATACATAGACCCGACTCTATGAAAAAACGAAATAGTAGTAAGACACAATATTATCACTAGCTAATTTCGACAAAAACCCTACCGGACTAGCCTCACAAATAAACAAAGTAAGAAAAAATTCAATTATCTCCTAACCTAAAACCCTAATACGCGACCTCACCGCCTTTAACAGACGAATGACATAAATTTATTGCAGTAGTGCGTATGTTAAAACACCATCAAAAGCTTATAGTCTTGTGATACTAGTAAAATTCTTCTACAATTATGAGTTAAATTTGCAGTGTTTCTGGTCTTCCTATCAAAGTTTATAATTTCATAAATTAATTATTATTTCCTCCATCCCGATAATTATTTTTTCTCCATCTCAATTTATTTGATGTATTTTTCCTAATTTTAAGAGTTAAATGAGTTCTTTTTATCATGATTTCTTTATATGCCATTTAAATATTTTGAATTAATTACTGTAACTTATAGTATTGTTGATGTATTTTTTATTGAAGATTCTACGTTCGAATTCGAGTTAAAATTGACAGGTTTAAACTTTCGATATCTGAAATAATTGAAATAATTCAAATAAATTAGGATAGAGGGAGTATCATATTATATAGTCTCGTGATATTTGTGAAACTTTATGAATGTGTGAGTCCAATTCTTAGTATATTTCGTCCCCTTTCCCTCTACTTTTCCTTCCCCTATATAATATTAAAAAACTTTCTTAAAAAATCGGAAAAAAGAGTTACACGAAGGGCTTGAATTATTTCTAGTAGTAACATGTAGAGGCGGAGTCAGATTTGAAGCTTATGGGTTCAGGATTCTAGTTTTTTAAGTTATTGGATTCTAAAATAATAATTTGTACATATTTCTTGAATTTCAAAAAAAAAATGCAAATTCTGCACAAAAATTACTGGGTTCGATCGAACACGTAAGCAGAAGGCTAGCTCCGTCCCTAGTAACACGTTTGGTTGAAGTGGAGGAATTAGGAAATTAAAATACGAATTATTTTTCCTTAACTATTTCTTTATTTTGTTTGGTGAAAGAGAGAAAATGAAAGGAAGAGGAAATAAAACAAGAATTACTGATAATAGGTGAATTTTACTATATTCAGGCCCTAAAAGAACCACCTTCTTGTGTTGTTTGATATTAAAGTGTTAGCAAAAATGCTCTTATTGGTGCTTTTCGTGTGTTTCAGGGTATATGCGACTAGGAAGGCGAGAAGTACAACTAGAGTCGAGAAAAATAAAGGAAAAGGCCAACCATGCAAAAATTCCAACCAAACTCAGCCAATTCAAACGGAGAATCCGCAGGGGTCACTGACCGCGGTCGATTCGCGACCGCGAGTAGACCGCGAAAAAATAAGGTCGCGGACAAAATTAATTTCAGAGAAGCCTCAGGACCGCGATCGAGCTGCGACCGCGGATGGAACGCGAGTGGCGCACGCCTGGCGAGGTCAATTGTGGAAAAACATAAAAAATAGCCCTAAAACCTATATTAGTTCTTAGGTTTCGCCCAAGAGAGGAATGTATTGATTATTTTGAGTTCTTGGAAGGAAAAACAAGTGTGTGAGAATAGCTCAAACCTATTTCTTCTTTCCCTTGATTCTTATTATGTTTAATCTTAATTTATGTTGTTCACCCATAGTTATGAGTAGCTAAATCTTTTGTCTAAGGTCTTGATGGAACCTATTTAGGGTTGAACTTCTTGTTTATGTTAATGCAAGTTTGCCAGTTTTAATCTATATTTATTCACTACGTTCTTGTTGTAGTTAATTGGTAGGATCCCCAATTAGCTGTGCTTATTTAATGTGCATAACTTGGAAAAGAGTGCATGTTTAAGTAGTTGTTGAATAACACCACTCCTGAAATATAAGAGGAATATATAATTGAGGGTTTAAAGGCGGGATTAGGAATAACAAAGTCTTGGGTGCAACGTTAGATGAACTGTATTAATCAAAGCTAGCTAGTGTAACTCGGGAGAGTGCAATAGTATTTTATTGTGATTATTCGGGAGAAATTCATGATAAGCTGAGTGTTCATTGTTGATATAGAACTGTTGGTAAAATTGTGTGAAGCATAAACAGAAGGGATTCCATCAATAGGGGAAGTCTTGACCTTAGCATCTCTATCTCATATTCAGTACAACCATAGTTAGTCTACTTTTAGCTTATTAGTTACGTCAATTAGTAGTTAGTAGTTAAAATTTCAACTGTGATTCTAAAGTCTTGGGAAGCTAGTCTTGAGGATTCGAGTGGGTCTTAAGTGGGATTTGGCAGGTTAATTCTTTGTGGATTCGACCTTGGGCGTAATACTCGGGTTTTATTTGCAACGTCCGCAGAGTCCTTTTTAGAGGGCATACTTTGGACGTGATCAAATTTTGGCGCCGTTGCCGGGGAATTAACGGAATTGTCAAGTGCCATTGATAGAGTTACAAGAATACTTGGTGTAACTAGTTTCTTTACAACAAACTTTTTGATTGAACTTTTTGACGGTTGATTTGGTTGCACAGGTGTATGCCTAGAAACTCCGCAAGGACTGGAGAACTGCTAGAAGGACTCTCAGACCCTGAGAAAATTTTCCGGGTATTGAATCATGCAAACAAGAAAATTCAACCGCCTCAATTAGACAACTTCGCTACCGAAATGGGAGACGTGAACGATCCAAACGATAACATCTTGAATCAGCAAGCTGACGCTGATGTCAGAGGAGTGGCACCTCCTGCTCAGGATGGTGCATTATATGACTAGGCACAACCGACATCTGATAATTTGGCTACGGCTATCGTTGTGCCCGCAATACAGGCTGAATCATTCCAGATCACAAACAATATGCTATACTTGTTGCAAAACAAGGGTCTTTTCTCTGGGATGCAAACATAAGATCCTCAGCAGTATTTAAAGAATTTCCTGTCAATATGCAAGACAAAGAGGCAGCCCAAGGTGACTCCGGAAGCAATCAGGCTGCTACTATTTCCGTTCTCAATGACAGGAGCTGCTCAGGTGTGGCTCAACTCACTCCCTATTAACTCTATTGAAACTTGGGATGAGTTAGTCAAGTGGTTTCACAACAAGTTCCACCCGCCCAACAAGACAGCTCAGCAGATTGATGACATTGTGAGCTTCAAACAGAAACCTATAGAGACTTTGCATGAGACTTGGGCAGGTTCAAGGGAATGTTGGTGACGTGTCCTCACCATGGTATTCCTGAGCAGATGCTGGGGCAGCGTTTTTATATGGGTCTCTCTGACAGCATGAAAAATATAGTGGATGCTTCTGCTGGTGGAGCATTCTTGGGTAAGACGTGGAGAGAAGGGCAGAATTTGCTAGACAAGATGGCTCAGAACTCAGGATGGACTACTAGGAATGCATCTATCACTCCTGTGGTGCACTCAGTACCTCTTGATCCGTCCAATAGCATGGCTGAAAATATGGCAACTCTTGTAATCCAGATGAGCATTCTCACCAAGAAAGTAGAAGAGTCAGGACAGAAACAGCAGGTGCACATCGTTGATACCGCCAATGGGGGCTTGTGTGCATCGTGTATCAGCCAACCAATTGGTAATCCATGGAACATAGAACATGACCATCTCCACCAGCAACCTGAGGATATGAATTATGTTGCAAATTACGGAGGTCAGAGGCAAGGAGTACAGACTTGGGGACAGCAGGGTCAACAACAGTTCAGACCACCTCCGCAGCAGTACAATGCCGGGAATATGGGAGGCATGAGACCTCACAACAATATGGAACCGTATCCTAGACCTCATGGTTATAATCAGCAGCAGGGGTATCACCCACCTCAACAACAACATGGTGGAAGACAGGAAGATGAGTTTGCCAGGTTAGAAGCAATGATGCAGCAAGTAATCGGGTCTAATGCTAAAATAAATGAAAGAGTGGATGCTCATGATGCAGCGATAAAGAACATTGAAGTGCAAGTGGGCCAAATCTCTATGGCTCTGAACAACCGTCGTCATGGGACATTGCCTGCAGACACTCAACCAAATACTAAGGATCAGGGCCCGAAACAGTTGATGGCGGTGAGTCTGCGCAATGGGAGAGATCTTGACATGGAACAGGAGAGGGCTCGGGAGAATGTACAGATAGAGACACGTGTTCCGGTGCCCATCGAGATAGATGAGTCCACAGGACTGACAGAGGTGACAGTCCAGCCTATACAAGAAAATGATAATGCTCAGCAGGAGACAGAAAAGGTTGCTGAACCAGTGGTAGTGACAGTTGATGAGGGCGTAGCTGAAAAGACAAAGTCCCAAGTGATTGGGAAGAAAACACCGCCGGCCCCATTTCCACAGAGACTGGCCAAGCATCAAAAGGAAGAACAGTACAAAAAGTTCTTTGAGATGCTCAAACAGATTCAAGTGAACATCCCATTTAATTGAGGCTCTCAAGGAGATGCCTGGTTATGCGAAGATGATGAAGGATTTGATGTCTAGGAAGTTTGACTTCCAAGACTTGGCCACAGTCACTCTGACTCAAACTTGTAGCGCAGTGGTGACCAGGCCCGTTGTTGAGAAGCTCTCTGATCCAGGGAGTTTCACTATTCCGTGCACTATAGGTAACTTTGCCTTTACTAAGGCACTCTGTGATTTGGGGGCTAGCATTAATCTCATGCCCCTGGTTATTTATAAGAGGCTGGGTATCGGGAGAGCTAGACCCATCTCTATGCTGCTACAGTTGGCTGATAGGACGGTAAAGCGCCCTTTCGGGATCCTCGATGATGTACTTATTCAGGTGGGGAAATTCGTGTTCCCCGCAGATTTTGTGATCCTGGACTGCAAGGTAGATGAGGAAATTCCTATCATTTTAGGAAGATCGTTCTTAGCCACAGGGAGAGCCTTAATTGATTGCGAGACAGGAGAGCTTAAAATTAGGCTCAATGATGAAGAAATTATTTTCAATGTGCAAAAGTCGATGAGGCATCCAAGTGAATTTGCTAATTGCTCCCTCATTGATACTGTGGATGTAATTGTTCAGTCAGATGATGAAGCATTGACTGTGGAGGATTCCCTGCTGGCATGTCTGACAAATGTGGAGGATGTAAATAGTGAAGAGTTGGCAGAATGGGTAATAGCATTAGAAGGTAGGGGGTTTTGGGAGAGAAATCTGGAATTTGAACCCCAACACTTAGAAAAGAGAGAGAGCCCTCCGGCTAAACCATCCATTGAAGAACCACCAAAGCTGGAGCTGAAGCCACTGCCAGCCCACCTCAGGTATGAATTTCTTGGCCCTAACTCAACATTACCTGTTATTATCTCATCGAGTTTGCTAGATGTACAGGTGCAACAACTTCTACAGGTTCTGAAAGATTGCAAGACTGCCATTGGGTGGACCATGGCAGATATCAAGGGGATCAGCCCCGTTTATTGCATGCACAAGATTCTCCTAGAAGAGGGACACAGACCTTCCAAGGAACATCAAAGGAGGCTAAACCCAAACATGAAGGAAGTGGTGAAGAAGGAGGTAATTAAATGGTTGGATGCGGGAATCATCTTCTCAATTTCTGACAGCAACTGGGTTATCCCAGTGCAATGTATGCCTAAGAAGGGTGGCATAACGGTGGTAAAGAATGACAATAATGAGCTAATCTCTACAAGAACCGCCACTGGTTGGAGAATATGCATGGACTACAGAAAGTTGAATCTTGCCACCCAAAAAGACCACTTCCCACTTCCCTTCATTGACCAGATGCTAGACAGGTTGGCTGGGAGGTCACACTTTTGCTTCCTAGATGGGTACTCAGGTTACAACCAGATATCTATTGCCTCTGAGGACCGAGAGAAGACCTCATTCACTTGCCCCTATGGCATATATGCTTTCAGGAGGATGCCATTTGGCCTTTGCAATGCACCCGCCACATTCCAACGGTGCATGATGGCCATTTTCACTGATATGGTTGAGGACATTATGGAGGTGTTCATGGACGATTTCTCAGTGGTGGGGAATTCATTTGATGAGTGTCTTACGAATCTGACACGCGTGTTGAAGAGGTATATCGAGACAAATCTGGTGCTGAACTGGGAGAAGTGCCATTTCATGGTGCAATAAGGTATAGTCTTGGGACACCGGGTGTCAAGCAAGGGGATAGAGGTAGACAGAGCTAAAGTTGATGTCATAGCAAAGCTGCCTCCACCAACATCAGTCAAGGCAATAAGGAGTTTTCTTGGACATGCCGGTTTTTACCGGCAGTTCATTAAAGACTTCTCCAAAATCGCAAATCCCCTCTGTAAGTTATTAGAGAAAGATCACCCTTTTGTGTTTACTGATGCTTGCAGGATTGCTTTTGAGGAGCTGAAGCAGAGGCTGGTCACAACACCGATCATTGTTGCCCCCAACTGGGAGCAACCATTTGAGCTAATGTGTGATACAAGTGACTACGCGGTGGGAGCGGTGCTGGGCCAGCGAAAGGACAAACTGATGCATCTGATCTACTACGCTAGTAGAACGCTGAGTGGAGCCCAACTCAACTATACAGTGACAGAGAAGGAAATGCTGGCTGTAGTGTTCGCATTCGACAAGTTCCGATCCTACCTGATAGGATCGAAGGTAATCGTATACACTGACCATGAAGCTCTTAGATACTTAATTGAAAAGAAGGACTCTAAGCCACGCCTAATTCGTTGGGTGTTGTTGCTACAAGAGTTCGATCTTGAAATACGTGACCGAAAGGGCACTGAGAATCAAGTCGCTGATCATCTATCACGACTTGAGGGAGCTGAGAACACAATTGAAGTGGAGGAAATCCTGGAAACCTTTCCAGACGAGCAACTGCTCGCCACCACTAACCTGGAAGCGCCATGGTATGCAGATTTTGCTAATTACCTGGCCAGTGGTATAGTTCCTTATGACCTTTCGTCGGTCCAGAGGAAGCGATTCTTTCGTGAAAGCCGTTTGTACTATTGGGATGAACCCTATCTCTTTAGAATATGCCTGGATAACATGATCCGGAGATGCGTCTCTGAGATGGAACAATCGTTTATTTTGCAGGTTTGTCATGCATCGGCTTATGGAGGACACTTTGGAGGAGTAAGAACAACAGCAAAAGTGCTAGAGGCTGGATTTTTCTGGCCGACAGTGTTCAAGGATGCTCACACATGGGTGAAAGGATGTAATGAATGTCAACGCACCGGGAACATCTCCCGGCGCCACGAAATGCCAATGAACCCAATTCAGGAAGTTGAAGTGTTCGATGTTTGGGGGATAGACTTCATGGGGCCCTTCGTCAGCTCTTATGGCAATAGGTACATTCTTGTTGCTGTAGATTATGTGTCCAAGTGGGTGGAAGCTGCAGCGTTGCCCACCAATGATGCAAAGGTAGGGGTGGGGTTTCTAAAGAAGAACATATTCACCCGCTTTGGGACACCACGAGCTATTATCAGTGATGGGGGCACTCACTTCTGTAACAGAGTATTCGAGAAGCTGCTAACTAAGTATAATGTGCGTCACAAGGTAGCTACTCCATACCACCCGCAAACGAGTGGACAGGTTGAGGTCTCAAATAGAGAGATAAAGAGTGTGTTGACAAAGACGGTGAATGCCACAAGAACGGATTGGGCCAGGAAGTTAGATGATGCACTCTCGGCGTACAGGACAGCGTTCAAGACACCAATTAGGATGTCTCCCTACAAGTTGGTGTTTGGGAAGGCCTGTCACTTACCTGTTGAACTCGAGCACAAAGCATGGTGGGCGCTGAAACAACTGAATTTAGATATGGAGGCAGCTGGTACCTCACGAGTCACAGAATTGCATGAGCTTGAAGAGTTTCGCCATCTTGCTTTTGAGAGCACAAGGCTATACAAGGAAAGGATGAAGCGACTACATGATCAGAACATTGTGGAGCGAAATTTCAAATCTGGGGACATGGTACTACTCTACAATTCAAGACTGAGATTGTTCCCAGGTAAGCTTAAATCACGATGGTCGGGTCCATTTTGGGTTGTTGAAGTTTCTCCGTCGGGAGCTGTGGATGTTGCTACTGAGAATGACTCTCGCACATTTAGAGTCAATGGTCAGTGGTTGAAGCTATACGTGGGGATGAGTGAACCTAAAGATGGAGCTGCAATACACCTGAGCGAACCACAGCGGTTGAGCGAGCCGTAAAATGCGCTCACCTGAGTCGTGTCGCGACGTTAAATAAGGCGCTGCGTGGGAGGCAACCCACGGTCGTGTTGTAAATGTAATCGTGTTAGTATTAAAAAAAAACGTGCTAAAGATTCAGAAGGGTGCCCAGACCGCGGTTCATCCGCGACCGCGGTCCAACCGCGACTGAGCACCCTCTCTGAACCTCGTTTTTCGCGGCCCGTCCGCGACCGCGGGCCAAACGAGAAAAATTGGCCCCTCTGAACCTTGACTCTCGCGGTCCACCCGCGACCGCGAATGAACCGCGAGCGCCGACCCGCGCCCAGGTAAGTTCTTTTTTTTATTTATTTTCGTTTTTCTCTCTTCCCTAAAATAAC